ATATGTATAAATAATTATATATATATATTATATTATATTGTCCTCTCCCTCTGCTGTACAGCACAGAATGTTGGATTGTCAGAATCCTGACAGAGAACCACAGCTACATGTAGGCAGGGTCAGCTGTAGCAGACACAGAGCGTGTGCAATGAGAATATAGAAGAGAGGCAACCAAACACATTTTCTCTGTCTGCATAAAGTTATCCTGTTCCCTAATAATAATGTAAAAAGCGAACAGAGACCAGTGACAATAGCTTTGGAGTTAACAGGCTATCTGAGAAAGTAGGAAACTCACTATAGAATAAGTTATGATTTTAACGGGTGTTTAAATTTCATGAAACTTTAGTCCTTCCATCCACCACTCTTCAAGGAACTTCTCATGAGCTGCAGCACCTGCTCCCCAGCCACAGCACAGCCCAGACAGTTAAAAGCAACTCTAACCATTCTAATTGTAAAGTAAGGGAATGCAGAAGAATTAAGTTGCATTTTTTTCAGACACTTCTTTCGTATCCCAAGACAAAGGTTTGGGTTTATCCTGTAAGTAAACAGACATGCCATTGAAAATAAAAAGGGGTACGCAGCTAGAACAGGCCAAAAAAAATTTGTTGCCAAAAAATCTGCTTCAGGACACATATCTACAGAAGAACATTATCTGAACTCCCTAATAATCATTGATACTATTAACTTACATTATTGGAAATTATTATTAAGAACAGATATTTTGGCACAAATCCTTTTCTTTAAGCTTTCTTTAACATTTGCTGTGACATTTTCAGATTAGAGTGCTATGTCAGGACAACCAACTCTGCCCAGCAGCATTATGTGAATAACACACAGTGAATACTGGAGAATGCAAATGCCACTCAAGCACTCAAACTGGAGAATAAGACATATATACAGGACTTAAGCATGAGATTTACAAAATATTTGCCTGGTAACTTAATATGGTAATTAAATTAAAATAATTATTACCTTATAACATTCATAAGCCTGGCCCTGAGAAGCTCATGGGTTCACAAAAGTCAAGGGCACATAACTTTCAGGAAGGAAAACAACAGGTCAAAAACTATTATACACAACTACTTAAGACACAGGAACTAGAGGCAATGACATGTTTAAAAACTCTAAGGATGCCACTCTGAGCACAGTGACTGAAAGGTTTGAAGGACATGAGCTGTGAATGTGACAAACTCTTTAGGACAGTTGTCACTCCCAACTGAGTACACTGCTTTTCTGCTGTATTGTTCTTTCCACCATCCTTTCCCACACTTTGTTAAAATGTGATCATCAAGCTGGCTCTTGAGTTCTGTTCTGCACTCACTTCTGATGTAATAAGAAACTCAACCCCAACTGCTGCTCTGCACCACGTTCAAAGTGAGCAACACTTCGCAGAGACTAACGCTCTGGAACAGCTGCACTGTTCTAGACTATCAGGGTAGAACATCATAAAGCTGACAAAGAGTTTCTTCTAGTAGTAGGTTTGTAAAAACCAACTAAGATTTGTATTCATTTGCCTGCATTACTTTCTGGAAAATCTTTTCTAGAAATAATATGCTATGATTAATTGCAGGGTGTTTTAAAAATAAAATATTGGAATATTTAAAAGACATTACATTATTTCTTCTAATATTGCAATACTCATATTATAATAATGTACATTTAAATTTAAAAATCAGCTATGTGGTCGGTAAATTTGTAATACTTGGTATTACTGTGATTATTTTAGATGTATAAATAAAAGTTGTGAATGTTCATTTTCTTCTAGTGATGACATGAGATTTTTACCATTCAGACACAGAATGAGGTTGTTTTTATCAATAATTTTTTCCTGTTTAGTAAACAAAGGGTCTACAGAGCTTGCAATGTCTTGTAAACAAAGAATAATGAGAGAATATATTAAAAAGTCTGTAAGATAAAGATAGTTCATCTTGTGAAAAATGAAAGTGAGAATGAAATCAGAGAGGAAAAATGTAAGGAGAATTTAGGAGGATCAAAACTTCATACAAACTTTTAATGAAAATAAACTGTACTCAAAGAAATACATAAGAAATACTGATGATACCTTTTTATCAGTTTGATGGATTTGAAGGCCTCATCCATGTCTCCAGCAGTCAGATAGAAGCTGAAATTCAGCATGGCATCCTGGGTGGTCTTATCACAGTCTCCTAATCCAACAAAATCTCTCATGGGTCTTCTCGCAACCATCTGAGAGACCTTCACTGAGCCAGACTCTGCTTGTTCATTTTCAGCTTCTCCTGGCTAAAATGAGAATGTTATTTAGGTATCAAGTAGGTTGAAACTTACTCCTCTGTACGTGCAATTAATTACATTATTTCCACTACAGTCCACATTTTCTATTTCTGCAGGACCATGATCAATAGTGACATTTGCAATGTTTCAGAGCTTCCTAGAAAATGCCCCAATATATATTATTTTATAT